AGAGAGGAAGTAGGAAAGAGAATAAGAAGCAGTTCAGTCTCCGCTGGTTACAGCTGGTATAATTGATTGATAAACAAATAGGTTGGTGAACAAGTAACGAAGTTAGGCTGGATCAAGGATCATAACATTATAGAGACACCCATTCTCTCGAATTTATTGTGCGCAGTGTCTTCTTACATTAAACATTGTATATCCGTGTCTCATCATTTCAAATAAATTAACACGGTTTATTTTTCCTTGTGTTGTGCATCCTTCAAGTCACACTTATATACATCCACCACGATTATATAGGACGCCCCGACTCCTCCTCTACCCTAATATATTTTTCGTTACAAAAACAATACGATAAAATTTTGGGAAAAATCTAGCATTCAATATTGGGCAAACGAAGTCTTTTGTCAACATTCGGAACAATTCATCAAAGATCAATTGATCGAAGTGATTGCTGTTATCAAACGTGCTGTTCAACTTGATTCGAATTTTGAACTCCGTCATGTTCAGCTGATTTCCGTTATAATCATGCTCGATTCTAAAGATCATGGCGGACGTTTATTACAAATATTGACTGGTGAAGGCAAATCAACTGTCATAGCAATGTTGGCTGTAATAAAAGCTCTAGAAGGTAAACAAGTTGATATCGTAACTAGTTCTATAACACTGGCTAAACGCGATGCCCATGAACGAAAACAATTTATGAAATGTTCAATATGACTGTTTCGCATAATAATGATGAAGTAAATTATGTTGAAGGACCAAAAAACTGTTATGAAGCTAATATTGTCTATGGAAATTCGAGTCAGTTTCAATTCGATATTTTGCATAATGATTTTAGTCTATTAAATACACGTAAAAATCGACCTTACGATATTGTTATTATTGATGAAGTTGATAGTATGCTCATCGATGAAAACAATATAATTGCTCGTCTTGCCGATCAATTGCCTAGTATGGAATGGCTTAATCCATTATTGTATGCCATTTGGCAAACGATTCAAACGAATGCTGATCCGATAACAAACAGAGATAGAATTGTTAAAGATCTTAAAAAATTTCTTGGTCTTCCTGAATCTCCATGGAAAATTCCACGACATTTAGAGTGTTTTGTTGTTGGTTCAATTCCATGTTGGATTGATAATGCTATTTCAGCTAAGGTCGAATATAGACTTGATCATCATTACATAATTAAACCCGATGAAACACGTACAAAACGCATTCTACCCATAGATTACTCCAATACAGGCGTTATACAATGCAATACAACATGGGATGATGGTTTACATCAATTTCTTCAACTAAAACATGGCTTAAAGATGACTCCACTATCGATTGCAACAAATTATTTATCCAATATTGGTCTATTTACACACTATAAAGATCAAATATATGGTTTCAGTGGAACACTTGGTTCGAGTGATGCGCGAGAATTTTAAAAAAAAATTTATCATGTTGATACAATAATAATTCCATCTTTCAAAGAAAAACGTCATTGTTCATTTAAACCTATTTTGACATCAACCGATGATGATTGGTTAGATGCTATTGTTTCAAGTACAATCGATCAGATTAATCTAAAACGAGCTGTTTTGATTATTTGCCAAACAAGACTCGATGCAAAAACAATCTTTAAAGCATTAAGATGTAAACATTGTACAAATTCAATGCGGTTCTATACTGATAATACAGATGACATCGAATTGAGTGCTATATCAAATCGTGTTGAGCAAAGCGAAATTATTGTTGCGACAAATTTAGTCGGTCGTGGAACCGATCTAAAAACAAGTGAAGAACTTGAAAAAACCGGTGGTCTTCATATTTGTTTGACATATTTACCGAATAACTTACGCATCGAGCAACAAGCATTCGGGCGAACATCTCGACAAGGCAATCGAGGAACATCACAAATGATTCTTAATCGAGATCGAGTTCTAGCCCAGTTAATATGTACTTATCCTGAATATATGAAAGAACAACATGAATCATATAATGATCCAATTGATTTGATTCGTGATTGGCAAAGTAAAGCCGAATCAAGTTGTCTTGATACAATTTGGAAAGAAGAAATTCCCATTATCAAAGAAAAAGATCATCTATTTGAACAATTTTGTATTCTTCTGAATGAATTACGTGAACAGTACGATAATAATTATCAATTGTCGAGCGTCAAAGAACGATGGGGTTTATGGCTCAAATCAATCGAACATGCTCGTCAGAATCAACAAAAATTACAGAATGTCATAGAAATAGCTGGATTTTCTTATATCGATGTGCAGCATCGTGATGGGAATAGTTTTTTCAACGTTCTATCACAACAACTTGGTGGACAAAAGAGTCCGAATATAGTTAAACAAATAGTTATTGAACATATGCTTAATAAAGAAGATCAATATGAAATACTCACTGAAGAAAGTCGGTATATTGCAGCAAGTCAAGCACTCAATGTGAATATCGTCCTATATCGAAATGATTATGGTGGCCCCTATGTATACAAATGTGAGAATGCTATAAAAACATGTTTCATAGGTTATGAAGTCGATACACATTACATTTCACTTCAACCGTTGAATTCGAATGATGAATGGATTGAAAACTATTTATTGAATATTAATAGCGATTGTTCTGTCAATGTAGAACATTCGTTGAACACAACGAAGGACAAAGTCACTGAATTAATTCGCTTATTTGTTAAATTGAAACTAGAAAAGAAAAGACAGTATGAAGAGTTTTTCTTGACTAAAATTATTGACCTTAATATACAAAATGCTTTTAAAAATTTTCAAGTTCAAATTCAAGAAGAATACAACACTGATCAACTAATTCAAAATCCTTGTTATCTATTGTTGGAATCGGAGGCTTTACTTAATAAACATTTTTCTGCAAATAATCGAATACAATCTATTGCTAAAAGTGGCTTTTTCATGAAGAAGAAATCGGATCCATTTGATAAAACTGTTGATGTATTGAAACGAGCCATTGATTTGGACCCCATTTTTTCATTCAGTGCATATGTCAATTATGCCCATATTATTATTCATAAACGTGATAACAGGTCAACCTACAAAGTCGAAGCTAAATCCAAATTGTTAGAGGCATGCCAGCAAATTGATGATCATATTTTATCGCAACATTACATCATGAAAAACCCATCAACCAATGGAATCGATGAAATTTTTTTTGATGATTTCGCTCAACAAACTAACACAAAAATTTTCATCTTGGAATCGTATAAAGAATATATTAAACGTGCAGTAGAAGCGATTGAACGTTCTCAAAACTTAATCGATGTATATGCAGATGATAGTGGTAAAGTCTACACGGGAAGGCATTTATACCGTGAAAAGGCACAAGAATTCCTCAGTAAATCTCAAGGCATCATCGATCTGAGTTTTCATGATTTGAAAGTAACACGTGATATTCGCAAGAATGATCAAGCTATTCAATTACTCGAACTTCTACCAAAGGACAAAAATCGTGTAACAATTCATTTAATGAACCCCAGTCTCAAACAAATAAAAAATATGATGTCCAAAGCGAATCTGAACGAAGTATGTCTGGTTATTGAAAATTTAGATCATCTTGGAATTCTACAGATCATCAACAATGATCGGGTTGATCTAATGGTTACTACATCAAAAGAACAATATCAAAAGATGATTGAGAACTTTTCAGGTAAAGTAACATTGGCAATGGATTCCTTCAAACAAGATTTCTCACCTTCAGAAGCACTCAAATATCTTGAAAGTACTGCTAATAATGTAAATTCTATAATGTTGAAATCGATTGATCGAGAAACAATAAATAATCTTTTGCAACAAATTGAACAAGCTATATTTACACTGACATTCAATGATCTACCTGATAATCGCATAGACACGATCATCACTTGTATATCGGAACCTTTCTCAATTTATTTTAAAAATTTATCAAAGGAAGATGCTTCTAAATTAGTTGGAGTCACTGATGCCGAGAGAAATATGATACTTGATTTACATGGATTGACGAAACAAGATGCGAAGAATGTTCTTGAAAGCTATCTTAAAAAAATTGGTCAAAATGAACATGATATTAGAACGACGTTAAAAAATCTAGCCGACTTATTTTCGAAATCGGATCAACCAAGTGAAGAGTTGAATGGATATGCAAATATGGGTGTTCAACATATCCTTCATGTAAAGGAGCTCAATCCGCGTCCTTGGATAAGTACCATCCTTTTGAGTTCTATAGGTATTTTTGAAATAATCTGTGGCATTTGTGTAATTCTTGGTACTACTGGAATAGGTTTCAATATAGGTATGAGTCTGGCCATCGACGGAATTAATAATATTATATTTGCTATACAAGGTACCTACTTTCGGACTATGTCATGGACCAGTTTTGCTAAACAGAAGAGTATTAGCCTTTTGCTCAGCTTTGTTTCATGTGGAATCTCGTCAGTCGGACATGCAGCACATGCTGCTTTGTCTCAAACACATAATGCATCGCAACTGTTTCACAATACATTCCATGGGACAGTAAATATGGTACGACATAGTGTTACAGGGCTTCATCATAACGCAGCCCAACATGTTGCAAGCTACGAATGGGGACCTATAATTAAACAAATGGTGGCCAAAAGTACAGAAACTTGTATAAAAACAATTTCAGATTCTTCGCTACTGTTCATGATAGAAAAGATTATATCAGAATCACAATCGGCTATAACGAACAAGATTGAAGAGATCGTCACGACTGAATTTGATAAAGATTACGTGAGTTGTCTGTTAACTAGAGCTTTGAATGGCGATGCTTACTATGGTACTAGACAATGCCAAAACAAGATTGAGCATGAGATGGAACTTATCCTGAGAAATGAAAAGAATATAGTCAGTGTAAACATCAAAAAATTTTCGAAAGAAATTTGGACTCGATTGATTGGTAAACAGAAATCTTCTGTTCAAGGAGCGATAGCATTGGATCAATCAACTAGCAGTAGTACTTATAATAGATCTCATTTTATGAAACAGAAAATTCCTTCAATATCATCAATTATTAACGACACCCGTCATGTGGAGACAATCATGTCTTCATTTTTCGAAAATTTCTACGAAAGTTTAACAAAATTTGAACAGAAAATACCTACTTTTCAACAACTTCTTATTCATGCCTCACAAAAATCTATTTCTTTCGAGGAGGCTAATGACATTTATCAGCTTTTGCGACAAAATAATGTTCTCACTAATAATGATTCCATAAATGTTTATCAAGGTAATACTTCAGATTCTTCCGAAGCATTGTCGAACTATTTTTCAATGTTCAATACAATGAATCAAAATCCAATGGACAAATTGAAACAAAAGATCGAGAAGATTAATTTTACTGATAAAAAGCACAAAGAATGCGTATTGGTCATTATAAACAAGCTCCTAGGAGAAGCACCAAATTCATTACACATAAGCATGCTTCGTAGAATGGTCGTCGATCGTGTAGTCGTACGTATTATTAACCAATTGAGTAGCTTTTGCCATAGCATGGCCAGACAACTGGCAAACTTCAGTATCAAAAAAGCGATGAGCACTCTGAATGAGGATTTAAAAAAAACTTTCAATGTAAAAGCTCGGATAAAAGATCGTACAATGGAAATTGGGACAGGAAGATTAAATTATGCCGGCAAGAACGACACGTTCGAAATTTTTCAGCAAAATTATATTCAATATTTGTCTAGCACTACTACTCAAACATTAAGTTTTCAAATGAAAAATCCTCAAAATGAATTTTGTTATTCGAACTATTTGTTAGGTGTGATTGCTACTTTAACAAACAAACCAATTTCTGTTATTCAGCAACAAATAATTAATGAATCAATTCCAGATATGCGCATACCATGTAATGCATTCATTGAAGCCAATCCAGTCTATGCTACTGGCATGCTACCAATTATTCAAAATCGAAACATGAATCAATACAAAGAATTCATGATTGAAAAATATGCATTCCTCGATCAGTCGTTACTCAATGAAAAGTCTCTCTTATTCAAAAAATCTAGTAGAAATATGGCAGAAGATCATGCCCATCAAATGAGACATATAATAAATTGGTTAACATCGGCCGATCCTTATCTAGACATTGAATTAAAGACTTTGAATATACTCTATCCTCAAGTAAAATTATTGGAACAAGCTGGATTCGAATTACATCATATATATCAATATAAAATACTGTTGAAAGATCAATTAAATGCTAACGACATAACACTCAGTGTAATTCGTCAAATGCTGATTGCTGGTAACATTGGTATATTGATCTATTGCTCATATCAAGGTATTGAACGTATTGAACGTTTAAAAGAATATCAAAATGTCATTGAAAAATATCTCAATGATGCATCATTCAAACTGAATTCTGTGACACTTGATCCGGATTATGATATTCAAATTGAAGAATATATTCCTACTAACTCTCACGTTGTGATAATATATATGTGTGAGCATGGATTCTATCATTACGTTCCAGGCAAAAAAGACATTCTCAAGACAGATACGATCTATGAATCGAATATGCCTTTAAATCAAGATGATCTTGCATGGTACAGCATCAAAGATGAACGCTATATGAATTCGAATGTAGCATTAAATACAACAAATATAAATTCACTTTCTGACAAAGAAAATACCTGTGTTGCTTCATCGATATCAAGGTATGTTTGAATAATAGATAGAGAAAAAGACTGAGTTATATCTCGAATATTCTTCGCCTATTTGTTTATTATACTGAGAATGTTTGATTGAAATCTGTCGTTTTGTTTTGTTTCTTTTAGACAAATTATTCCAGTAACAGCAACAACTTCTACATTAGGAAACCTTCTACTCAAAATATGTCATCTCTTGAACAAATGTAACTAACTCATTTGAAAAGGACATGAACATTGACATCATAATTCTGTTCTAAATAGAAGTACTAATTTTGGATATATTGTATGATGACGTTTGCCTATGTATCTTGCTTAAATATTGTTATTGTATTCTATCCGTATCAATACTTACTGTATTAAGTATCAAAACATTGAGTATTTCTGCTTAAAACAATACTCTTCAATCATTAAACACGATCGAGTTAAATTTCAAGAAGCATAGATTTAATCCCTGTCACGTAACAACTGTTAATTTCGCAATCGAAGAAAGGTGATTCTTTTTTGCATAACTTAGAATATGAGTGTTCACTTGACAGTAATCATTGTTATGCGAATCGTTCCTCGAATTAATCTAGTAGATGATTGTACCATGTGTGAAGCGTTATTCGCTCGATGGGAAGGCGAAGAGACAATGTCTATAGGCCAAATAGGCACTGAATGGTGGTCGTACTATCTTAGAACATTGTAAAAAGACAATTCATCATTCAACATTTTTTTATTAAGACTTTATAACACATAAAAGCTGCGCATATCTTTTATTTGAGACAGATGAATTTGTTTTGACCAGAGACGGTGGACGACGATTATCTCTCAGTAACTGTTCTAAAACTCTCGAAAACCGATTGAATTCATGAGGTGGCAAATCACTACCATTATACTTTTTAGCGTAGATTCTTGTATAAATATCCATTTGTTTTTCACGATTCTTCATCAGCAATTGAGCATAATCCGGCATTTCTTCACCGTTTTGAAAATCATACAAATCACCCAATTCTGTTGAAAGTCGGTGTTGTGCAAACCATGAATTAATGTCACCTCCAGTCGATATCCATTCATCGATTGGGCGAACATTGACTACAGGGGTTTGTTGTTTGGTACTGGTAAGGATGAATGGTGACACAGCATGACTCGATGCTGGTGGTGTGCCATGATGCGGCGGTTGTGCTGAAAGATTCTCATTGATGGGTATTTTTGCCGATGAAAATGATGTAAGAATTGTATTTAGCAATTCAGTCGCTTTGCTTTGTTCTGACTCAAAATTGCCTCGAAAACGAATATACTTCATCCCAGTCATTCAAATACCTAGCCATCCTTTTGTATTGAATTGTACAAGTAATATAGGTACAATTTTCTTCTTGAGTGAATCTGCTGCATAGATAAATTCTTTTCGACATGATTTACTCTCGAAATATTGATTTGAAAGGAGACATACAATAATAGATGCTTGTTCCATACCTTCAGCAATCGCTCCCCATAAATCATCGACTCCTTGACAATGTGTTCGATCGATCCATATTTCAAAGACATCATTATGTTTATTTAATGAATCAAGTAATTGACTACAAAAATCATAATCTCCATGAGAGTCACTAATCATAATCGAGAGTTTTCGTTGCATTCTAGAAAATCAAATCTCTATACTAACTCAATAGGAAAACTATACATTCTCTTACTCTTTTAATGAACTTAAAACAAGAGCATGAAGAGCAATATATCTTTTCATCGACTATCATCTCATTCTTACTATCAAGATGAAGATTATGTAGAATGCCGAGTACTGCTTCTTTAACACCTTCCATAGATTGCTGTTTATACTGTTCGAGAATTTCTTGTTCTTCATCTTTTTCAATAAATGTGTTGATTGTCTTTATTAGTTCTTCATCTTGAATTAATATGGATGCATAATTCTGTTGAAATGATATACTCCAGAAAACGTTTAATAAGCCTACCAATGTAAATTGTTCTAGTCGATCTGTTCCTTTTAATGCATCAGCAAATTTAAAAAGTAATGAGGTAAATAGACGAATCGTTGAATGTACATCTGAGGGTGGTTTCGTTTCAGCATGACAAATAACATAATCAAGTGTACGTTCTTCGACAACTAACATTTTTACGAGAACACCCAATGGTTCACTAACATCAAAGCCATCACGTCGATATCGATCACCTTTAGCAGCATCAATGACAAGTTGCAATAATTGATTGAGTATCATATTCATGCCTTTTTAATAACGTTTAAGTTCTTCAGGTGTCGAAAGAAGAGCCAAAGTCATCGAAGTGACCAGCACTCGTGAATCTATCTTCGCTGATTTGCCTGATTATGAATACAAAATAAATTTGAGATAATATTACTTATGAATTTACATCTTTTGATATTGTTTGATGACTTCGATAGATCCATATTTGTTGAGTTCATCAGCTCCGTCATCATGTCGAGCAATATTGTGAATAACACTGATGAAAGGTCGTCGACAGTTATCTGCTAGTTTACTCGCTTGAGCAAGCCAACCGCCAGCTTTTCTAGCAAGATCACACATGGGTGTGGGTGTGATCGAAGCAACCACGACTAGGGGTATGCAAGCTCAGCTCAAGCTCACAAATAATGAGCTGTTGAAACCGCTCACTGAGCCGAGCTGAACTGTTCGAACAGCTCATTTGAGCGAACCGAGCTTTTCCAAACAGCTCATCTCACATGAGCTGAACTGTTCGAACAGCTCATTTGAGCGAACCGAACTTTTGTAACAGCTCATTTCATATGAGCTAAACTGTTCGAACAGCTCATGTGAACGAACCGAACTTTTGTAACAGCTCATTTCACATGAGCTGAACTTTAAGAACAGCTCATCCGCAGGAACTGAACTTTTTGTAGGGGTAGTCATAGGTCCTCAAGGGCTACCCTATAGGAGCAGTCACAGGTCCTCAAGGGCTATCCTATAGGGATAGTCATAGGTCCTCAAGGGCTACCCCATAGGGGTACTCATAGGTCCTCAAGGACTACCTATAAGGGTACTCATAGGTCCTCAAGGGCTACCCTATAGGGGTACTCATAGGTCATCAAGGGCTACTTATAGGGATAGTCATAGGTCCTCAAGGGCTACCCCATAGGGGTACTCATAGGTCCTCAAGGGCTACTTATTAAGTAGCCTTTGAGGACCTATGAGTACCCCTATGTGGTAGCCCTTGATGACCTATGGGTACCCCTATAGAGTAGCCCTTGAGGACCTATGACTATCCCTATAAGTAGCCCTTGGGGACCTATGAGTAACCCTATAGGGTAGCCCTTGAGGATCTATGACTACCCCTACAAAAAGTTCAGTTCGTTCGGATGAGCTGTTCGAACAGTTCAGCTCATATGAAATGAGCT